GGCACTTAGCGCTATGAATTCCCCTCTTAGGACTATGTGTCCCAATGGTTTTGTTGTGTTATTTTTTTTTTTTTTTTTTGGTCTTTTTGGGATTCCTGGAATTCTTTTTTATTCTTCTTTGACCCCTTCATCATTCAGGAGTATGTATGTTGTTTAATCTCTGTGTGTTCGTTTAATTACTAGACCCTCTTGCTGTTGATTTTAAGTTTTATTTGCTTGCAGTCTGGTGGAATACATGGAATTATTTCAGTTTTTTTTTGTATTTGTTGAGGTTTGTTTTGTGCCCCAGTATGTGAATTATTTGTGAGAAACTTCCATGGGCTGCTGAGTAGAATGTACATTCTTTGGTGCTTGGGTGGAATATTCTCTAGTAGTCTGCAAGGTCCATTTGATGTATAATACTGTTTAATTCAGATGTTCTCTGTTTAATCTTTGACAAGTTGACCCACCTGTTAGAGAAAGTGGGGCATTGAAGTCACCTTCTATCACTGAGTTGTGGTCAATCTGTGTTTTGAAGTCCAGTAGTATTAATGAAACTGGATGCACCAGAGTTTGGTGCATATTTGTTCATGATTATTATGTCTTCTTGGTTGATTGTCCCCTTGATCAGAATGTAGTGACCTTCTTTATCTCATCTGATTAAAGGTGATAGATAAGGGTCTAATTTCATTCTTCTACAGGTAGAAATCCACTTTTTCCTGCACCATTTGTTGAAGATGCTGTCTTTTCTCCAGTGTATGTTCTTGGCGCCTTTGTGAAATGTCAGGTGGCTGAAATTGCATGCACTCATTTTAACTTGAAGTCTATTTTGTCAGATACCAAATAGCTACTCCTGCTTGTTTCTTAGTATCATTTGCTGGAATATTTTTCCATCCTTCCACCTTGAGGTGGCACCTTATCCTTGGAAGTAAAGTGAGTTTCTTGCAGACAACAAATTTTGTTTCTTAGTATTTCAGCTGGTCTGTGTCTTTTGATTGGGGAGTTGAGGCCATTGATAATTTAGAGTTATTGTTGAAAGCTTTCTGTTATTGTTCTCGGTCTTATTTTATGTTTCTACACTTTCTACCTTCATTGGTTTTCTTTCTGTAATCTCTTGAGTATGGTCATTTTTTTTTTCTTCAGTTTTTTGTATTGCTTTGAGTATTCTCCGTGTGGTTGATTTGGTGGACATGAATTCTTTCAGCCTATTTGTATCATGGAAGATTTTTCTTTTCCCTTTGACTAAGAAAGGTTGGCATCTATGGTTATTTAAAACTGGGAATACTTTGGTTCAGGCTCTTCTGACTTTTATAGTTTGCATTAAAATGTCGGTCATAATTCTAATGGGATATCCATTATCTCTAACTTGTTTTATTCTAACACTTTTCAATATTCTCTCTTCTATACATTTAATGCGTTTACTATGGCATGCCCTGGGGAGGTTCTGTTCTGATGCCGTCTGTTCTGATGCTGTCTAATCAGTATTCTGTGTGCTTCTTGTATCTGTGTAGCTACATCATTCCTTAGTTTAGGGAAGTTTTCTTCTGTAATCCTGTTGAAGATCTGCTCAATACTATTGACTTGAGGTTCTTCTCCTTCTTATGCCTATGATGGGTAGATTTGATTTTTCATGGTGTCCCACATGTCCTGCATATTTCATTTCTCTGTCTTTCAAATGTTTTCATATTCTTTGAGCAGCTCCGCTCTTCCACTTTGTCGGTACTGCTTTCCATTTCTCTCTTTTTGCCTGTGAGGCTTTCTCCTGTCATTTCAGATTGAGTTGTTGAAAACTTCAATTCCATCTTCATTTAGGCTTGAGTTTTCTTCAGTATTTCTGTATCTTTTGTGAATACAGTTTTTCAGGTCCTGACTGTCTTTGTTGTTTAATTCACCCATATGTTAATATTTTCTTGAGCTTCAGCTAGGAGTTTATTCCTATCCTCTTTGAGCTCTTTCAGTTTTTTGTGTGTTCTTTAAAGTCATTAAATACTTTGATCATGTTTATGATTGTTCTTTTAAATTTTGTGTCTTGGGGTTCCTCTGGTTGGTGCTCATTGTAGAACAGTTCTATAGGACTCATGGGATTCAGAAAGGGGGAGACAAATTATCTTGGTTTTTCATATTTGAGTTTTTGCTTTGTAGTCTGGGCATTTAGATTTGTTTTGTTAGTGGTGGGTCTGAAATGCAGTTCTATCCTACCTTTGTTTAATTGAAATTTGGTTCTGTTTATATTGTTGATGTAGCTTATTTGCTTTCTGGTTGGGCATGCATAGTTAGTTGGTCTGTGCTTTAGATTCTCACTTCTGATTCTTTTTATTGGCAGGACAAGATGGTTTCAGCCTGAGTAAAGAGCTCTCCAGCAGGGCAGAGGGGCCTAGGCCCAATTTGAGACTATAGGGATCCAGTGACTAGGTTCTTGCAGAAGAGGTCTTGTTAAGAGGTCTGAAGCTTGGGGTGAACAGGAGGGAGCCTGAGTCCAAAGCGGGCATGGGGACAGTATGGGGAGGATCTGACTAGCTAAGGAAAGTAGATGTGAGCCCTGGAGCACTAGAATGTATCTAATCTGGGTGCAGGGATCAAGATGCAGTAAGTGGAGTCTGCCTTCAGAGGCTAGTCTCACGACAGAAGGGCAGGAGGGGGCCTAGATCCAAGTCTGTAATGGGGATGATGGGTAGGGTCTTAAGTAGCTAGGCAAAGTAGGTGTGTGTCCTGGAATAGAGAGATCAAGCTGCAGTGGGTGAAGTCTGGCTTAGGAGGCTAGTGAGGGGAGGTCCCAGGAGGGAAGAACAGGAAGGAGGCCTAGGCCCAAGGCTGGAGTGGGGACAGCTTGGGGAGTGTCTGGCGAGATAAGCAGAATAGATGAGGGCCCTGGAGTAGGAGAATATCCCAAGTTCATCTTATTTATTTATTTATTTTTGATTGATTGATTGATTGATTGATTGATTGATTGATTGATTGATTGATTGATTGATATTGATTATTGATTGACACAGGGTCTCATGTAGCCCAGACTGGTTTCAAACTTGCTATATAACTGAGGATGATCTAGCACTCCTGATCTTCCTGTCTCTACCTCTCAAGTACTGGGATTAAGAGAGGCTGGCCTCGAACTCACAGAGATCTGCCTGCCTCGGCCTCCCGAGTGCTGGGATTAAAGGCATGCGCCACCACGCCCGGCTATTTTGTTTATTTTTATGTCATTTATTTATTTTGTATGTATTTTATGAGTGGTTTGCCTGCATGTATTTAAGTTTGCCCATGATGTATGATGCCCGTGGAAACCAGAAGGGAGTGTCAGATCCCCTGGAACAGGAGATTAGGGATGTTTGTTATTTGTCATGTGAGTGCTGGGAACCGAATCTGAATCCTCAGCAAGTGAAGCCACTGTTCTTAACCAGTGCTCTTAACCACTGGGCCATCTCTGCAGTTCCTGGGGTCTTTAGATTACAATCAGATAGAAGCAGTGGCTGAAGTGAGGAAACTTTCTTGGGCTGGTCCTACCTTTACTCATGAGCCTGGCATTTCATTTGGAGTTGGGGATGTGGGTCTGAGGCTGGCTGGGCATCTCACTCCATCTATTTTTTGTGCATTTCCTAACTGCTTTGTTTCCTGTTTTGCTTTTCATCACTGTCATTGTAGTCCTCTGTATCTGTAATGATGGTTTTCCTGTACTTGCTATTGAATTCCTCTGTGAAAATATTCTTTTTAGTCTAAACACAATGCAAAAATTATGTATCTTCTCTAACCTATCCATAGTTCGATCAGAATTACTTTCTTCTTTCTCTGTGCTCCTGTAATGAACTTCTGCTGGTGTGCTTCTGTATTTCAGTAATATTAGAACTTTGTGTATATTTATTTCTTTCTGGTGAGCAAAGGCTGTTTTGTTTTGTTTTGTTTTTGTGGTTTAGTACCTTACATGTAGAGGCTTTGAGAAAAGTACTTAGGAATGAAAGGTCTAGATTCTATTCCTGGATTGTAATCATTAGTTTTGTGACCACTGACAAGTCCTTTCATCTATTCAGTTCTCATTTGTAAAACAGAGGCAATAGTTCATCTCCTCACTGGTCCTATATATTATACATGGCAAGTACTCAGTCAATGTTTGCTAAATTAAAAATGTTTTGAGTTGAATATTTCTCTTCTGTGTTGATGAGAGAGTGATAGAAAATGATTAGATGATTCTAGTACAACATTAAGAGTTAACATCTGTAAACATCTGTGCTATAGCAAGCAACTGTTGAAAGTATAGTATACATTTAGTAACTCTTTTAAATGACTTGATATTTTCAAGGCTTTGAGAAACAGTCCTGGCGCATAGCAAATGTTAAGTAAAATAAAAATATGCTTTTTGTGACAGCTCTACATAGTAGATGGAATTATTTCCATTTTATAAATGAGGCAACCAAATAAGTTGCCCAAGACTAGTAAATAACAAAGGTTTGAACCAGATAGCTTTGTTCCCAATGACTTCAGTATAACCACCCCACAGCCATGGTTCTATGACTCTTAAACATCAAGGTTAATTCCCATATTGAGGAAACTCAGCCTACCTTTTTTCTTTTTAATTAAATAGTCACACATGAAAATGCACTAAATGTGGAATTTGCTCCTTTGCTAGAACTGAAACTTAGAAGCCTGGCTTAGATGAGACACTGTTTATTCCATTGGTATTTCTGAGTGTTAAGGGACTTGCCAATAGTTGAAATGAGGTTAGACGTGTGTGACCTGGGGAATGGCCTGGGGACTAATGGAGATTTTCACTAAACTTTGTTAGACTGTTGTGGTACTTAGGAAAGCTCTTAGTCTTTCATGTCTGTTTTCTTTTCTTGGCATCAGACTGGATAATGTGCATACATTCTTTTTTTTAATATTTTATTATTTTTATTTTATGCATTCTACCAGGCACTCTACTGAGCTATCGTCTAGCCTGAAATGTACTTAATACTAATGAAAAAAACCAAAGGTGAAAAACGTCAGGGAAATTTCATAACTGTTGAACTTCTTGTTTTCATCTTTCTTAGGGCTTGAGAAATGATCTCAAAGCAGCTTTGGATAAAATTGACCAGCAATACCTGAATGAAATTGTGGGTGGTCAGGAACCTGGAGAGGAGGACACACAGAATGACTTGAAAGTTCATGAAGAAAACACCACCATTGAAGAGTTAGAGGTAATTTCAGCACCTGGCCCAGCCCATTCCCCTTCATTTCTTCAGAAACAGGGAGCTGAGTGACTCAGTGTCCCCCCTGTGTCAGTGTGAAGGCACTTCTTGTTTCATGCCTTTATTTCCTCTTTCTCTCGTTCACTCACATGCCTGTACTTCTGCCTCCAAAAGTAGTCACTGCAGTATGTTGATGTCCATCCTTTTATTTGTTGGTGGTGGTCTTGTAAAACCTGCATTGTGGTGTGTGTGTGTGTGTGTGTGTGTGTGTGTGTTTGTGTGTGAAGTATATATACATCTACATTTGATTTATATAAATAATACTGTTTTGTGATAATCTTTATTACTTTTTTACTTTTTTCCCATTTCATACTGTTTTTAAGGTCCACATTTAATGTTTTGCTCTTAATTGACTACATATTATGACATTCATGTGTTTAATTTCTATTTTGCTTGTTTTTAATTGTTTCTATTTATTTTTAACTGCTTTAGTTTTTTCAATATACATTTTTATTGAGTTTTTGTGCATTTCATATATCTTAATCATATTTGTACCTCCTCCCCTATCAGCACCCATCTACTAACCCTAACCCCCCCCCCCAATTTTATCTCTACCCCCGATCCACTGTGTTCTGTGAGCCTTAGGCATATAGGTTCAATTGCAGATCTATCATGTAGGGCTGGGCATCTCATAGACACTTACTCTCTGTGTTTGACCAGTTATGGAACTTGGATAGTATATATATTTTTATTGAGTTTTTGTGCATTTCATATATCTCAATCATGTTTAGACCTCCTCCCCATCAGCACCCCTCTATAGTTCCCCCTCCCTCCCAATTTCTCTCTACCCCCGATCCACTGTGTTCTGTGAGCCTTAGGCATATAGGTTCAATTACAGATCTGTCACGTAGGGCTGGGCATCTCATAGACACTTATTCTCTGTGTTTGACCAATTATGGAACTCTTAGTCTCTATCTATTGCAAAAAGAAGCTTCTTTGATGAGTGGTGACAGGTATACGTGTCTGTAAATATAGGGGTTGGTATACAGTAAGAAATTATGTTTGTAATAGATGTAGGGTTTTCTCTAGGATCTGTGACCTCTCCAGCCACATGTATTTGACTGTGTTTACAGTACTACACAGGAGTTTCCTTCCATTAAATCTAATTAGATAGCTATTGATTATCCCTAAGATTAAAGTGTCACTATTGCACCAATAGTGATAGTTTACTGTGCTAGTCGTTGTGGTTATTAGGCTTTAAAGCTGATGTTGGACCATTGATTGAATTTTCTTCCTTAGCAGCTTGCATAGTATTTTCTGAAACTATGAGACTAGTCTTCAGGGAGGAGGCTTCTAGGTCAGTTCCAGCTCCATTGTGCCAACTCCTGTGTCCAAAGTATGTCTTGGCTTCAGCAAGAATGTTTTACCTTCAAGTTCTGGGAGGCAGTCAAGGGCTGTGGCAGTAGCCTGTATTATTTTGGAGTCTCTTGGACTACTCTGACCAACAACTCAAAGGGAAGTTTCTCTTATCTAGCACTGTTTCTTGTTATGTAGCCTCCTCCCAGCTCCTTAACTGCTAACAGCTTTTTGATGAATAGTCTTCTGTGTAATAACTGTGGACTGAAACAGAATTATGGAATTTGTACATGCATGTTTGAGTACTGCCACATTGATCTCTGGCATGGCTGTCCCAGTGTTTACCCTACTGGCAGCATGTCAGGGACTTGTGTCCTACATGTCTGGCAACAGTTTGGTAGTATCTAGCCTCCCAATTCTGTCACTGTGTTGCATATGGAATGATGTATAATCTTAATGAAAAAGCCATATTGTATCATGTAATTATCTACCATGTAAAAAAAATAGTTTAAAGTTTTAAAAATGTTTAATATAACAAGCTGTTTCTTCTGTTTCCTTTAGTTTCTGACTCTAGAACATGTAGCAATCTCTATGAATGAGCTCATAGTTGAGAAGCATTTCATTTTTCTGTCCTTCCTCTCCCATCACCTGTTTGGGATGGATGGCCTGCGTTCTAGTTTGCTTTCAATTGCTGTGACAAAATACTGACCAATGCCAGCTTGGGGAGGAAAGGGTTTATTCAGCTCACATCTCCCAGCAGTTCAACAGGGAGCTCCAGGTAGGAACTCAGGGGAGAAACCTGGAGGCAGGCGCTGAAGCTCAGGCCATGGAAGAATGCTGCTTACTGGCTTGCTCCCCTGGTCCATGCTCAGCCTGCTTTCTTATAGAGTATAGGCCCATCTGCCCAGGGGTGGCACCACCCACAGTGGGCTGGGCCCTCCCACATCACACAACAATCAAGAAGATGCCCCTTAGACATGGCCACAGGCCAGTCCAATGAAGAGAATTTCTCAGTTGAGGCCCCCTCTACCCAGGTGTGTCAAGTTGAACTAAAGCTATCCAGCACAACCTGTAACTTTTACTGAGCTAACTCTAAGGAACAAGCACTTGTCAGACTTCTTCCCTTCCTCCTTCCTTCCTCTGTTCCTACTCCCCTTCTTTCCTGTTTTTTTTTTTTAAATAATTCTATTGAGATATTCTCACATTATATAATTTACCCAATTAAAACATATAATTAAGTGGCTTAAAAGATATTCACAGGGTGGTGCCACTATTATAGTCTGATTTTAGGCCATTTTTATCTCCAAAAAGAAACCTCCAAATCCTTTAGTAGTCACTGTTCTTACCTTTCTTTGTATGTTTGTTTTAATTTAAAAAATCTGGGGCTGGAAAGATGGCTCAGCAGTTAAGAGTGTGCACTGCTCTTGCAAGAGGACCTGAGTTTGGTTCCTATCAGCCACATTAGGTGACTCACAACTACCTATAACCCCAGCTCCAGGGGGATCCGATCCCTCAGGCCTCTATGAGCACCTATACTCATGTGTTCATCCCCACACACTGACTGACACATACATACACACATAATTAAAAATAATAAAATGTACCATAAAGTTTTTTTGTAATTATTATTTTTGTGTATATATGTGTGTGCATGATGTTGGATGGGATGCATGTACCACCATATGTGTTGAGGTTGGAAAACTGTGCATTTGATTCTCTCCTTTCACCTTGCTGTGAGTTCTCCTTGATGTGACCTCAGGTCATTGGACTCACATCATCAGGCAGCAAGTGCCTTAACCCACTGAAGCATTTTTCTGGCCCTCTTGTCTTTCAGTTCTTCATAAAGAATAACATGTTCTCTAGATATAAATATCAAATCAGTGTCTAGAAATTGCAACAGATTTTAAAATAAATATTAACTAGTATAAGTGATAAAGCATTTTTAAACCTGGTATTGATCTCTCTCCCCTTCCCTCCTTCCCTCCCTCCTGTCCACCCTCCCGCTTTTGAGCCTAATCTTTGATGGCTGCTGCCTCATCTCTGCAGCCCTACACTACTTATTTTTATTTCTTCATTTCTTTAGGTTTTTTGAGAGGGTCTAATCCTTTTATATCTACACCATCTGTGCAGCCCTACATTCTTTATTATTTATTTGTTTATTTGGTTTTCTGAGACAGGACCTCCCTGTAATCCCAACTGGCCTAGAACTCACTATGTAGACCAGGCTGGCTTTGATCTCATAGAGATACATCTGCCTCTGCCTCCCCATTGCTGGGATTAGTGGTGTGCACCACAATGTGGCCTACACTTTATTTTTTAATTATAGATGTATTGTTCTTTCTCTTTAGGCACTGGGAGAGTCTCTAGGGAAGGGTGACGATCATAAAGATATGGACATCATCACCAAATTCCTGAAGGTGTGTTCTGGAGGCAGGGGAAGGAAGCATTGTGCACATTTATGATGTCAAGGGTTAAAGGTTCTTGGGAAGATAGTTCTCCAGCATTTGTGCATGTGCTGTGTCTCATGCATTGTGTGCTTGTCCTAGAGTGCTGGTGTAACTGTGTGTGCCACTGGAGCTCCTCTCACTGTATACTTGTATGTAGTGGTTAACGAAGAAAATGTGTTTGCTTTCTTTATGAGACTTCTGAGAAGCTGGTTTATTAATGTAAAGTCACAGAAAGGAATCACAACAGCAGAATGAACAAAACGTTTGGAGGTTTACTATTTTTCGTGTGTTCCAGAGGCTTTTATGAGAGGGCAATGAAAATCTATAAAGGAAGGAAGCTTGGGAAGGACATGTGCAGAGTCAGCACATCTGTAATCTTTCAGAAAGGCTCACCTTTTCTGTTCTGCATGTAGTTGCTGGTTCTTGCTGCTTTGCTAATAATTCTCTCTTGCTGTCAGCATTTCTCTTGAGTTGTTTGGGTAGAATGTAGGCAAATCCCAAGGTCACTTAAAGATTTATTCACAAACTTTGTCCTCAGACTTGGAGATTTAATGCAAGGAATGGTTTTATTTGTACTTATATTTTATTTTTATTTATTATTTTTAATTTTAAAATTCATTTTCACTACACTATTTTAGTCATCAAGGTTCTAAAACGTGTTAGGGTATGGTATAGATCTAGACAGCATGGAAAGCCTTTTCTCTTTGAGTGACAGTTGTCCTCAAGTAGGTGTTGCAGAGAGGAGGTTGTCCTGTCAGCTTCCCTGTTGCCTGTCTCTGGAGAGAGTACACAATTCCAGCTATGCTGTGAAATCCAAGGGGCCCTAGGGTATTCTCTGGGGGTGAGAGAGGTGGATCACAGTTTTTTTTTTTATTCCTTTTTTCTTTCCTTCTCCATCAGAATTTTTCATTGACTTGTCTGTTTGGCTTAAGTACAAAGTCTAAATAGTATAATATTCTTAAAACACTGATGAAATATCACAATGCATGTAGTGTTATGGATGATAAATCTAGATTGAATTCTGTATAATAGGTGCAAATAAAAATACAGCGAAAGTTATTTCAATCAAATTTTTAAGTAAGGAACTTGGTAGTTCTTTTTTGAAGAAATGGACTATCTTTAGATAGGAAATCCACAGTAAACTAAACAGAACTTGTTCATTAATTAAACCCTACTTGACAGTCTTAACTGGGCCATTGTAAGAATGGTAGTGTGTTCAGAGCTGTTACACTTCCTACACCACTAGGTGGCATTGAAGTCTCAATTTGCTCCTTTCAACAGTTTCTTCTTGGTGTTTGGGCTAAAGAATTGAATGCCAGAGAAGATTATGTGAAGCGCAGTGTACAGGGCAAACTGAACAGTGCTACTCAGAAGCAGACTGAGTCTTACCTCAGACCACTTTTCAGAAAGCTCCGGAAAAGGGTGAGGTTTCTTAGAAAACACTTTTATTAATTCCCATGAAAAAGTCAGAATAGGGGGCTGGGAAGATGGCTCAGTGGTTAAGAGCACTGACTGCTCTTGCAGAGGACCCAGGTTCGATTACCAGCACCCACATGGTGGCTAACAACTGTCCTTAACTCCAGTTCCAGGGGATCTGACGGCCTCTTCTGACCTCCGTGGGCATTGTATGACACGAATGTACTTAGTTCCTTGCAGACAGTACACTCATACACATAAAATAAAAATGAAAAAACAAAATATTAAGGGGCCGGAGAGATGGCTCAGCGGTTAAGAACACTGGTTGTTCTTGCAGAAGACCCAGATTCGAATCCCAGGACACACGTGGCAGCTAACGACTGTCCGTAACTCCAGTTCCAGGGGATCCGATGGCCTCTTCTGTCCTTGTGGGCATTGCACGACACAGGTGCACTTACCTACATGCAGGCAATACACGCATACACACATAAAATAAAAATAATAAATAAAATTAAAAGAAAAAAGAAAATATTAAAAAGTCAGAATAGGAGGCAGAGGCAAACATCCCTATGGGATTGAGGCAAGCCTGGTCTCCATAGCAAGTCCAGGCTAGCTGGGGCTACCAAGAGACTGTCTCAAAAAAAAGGCTCTATAGAATGTTTCTTACTATATATAGTAGCTTCTAAAACTAGATATGTTTTTCTTTTCCAGAATCTTCCTGCTGATATTAAAGAATCAATAACAGATATTATTAAATTCATGTTACAGAGAGAATATGTAAAGGTACTGTACGTTATTATTATTCTGTGCATTGAAATTATGAGCATATCTAGGCTATATATATAGTAATGGCCATTTGGAATGGGAGGGATTTTACATGGTTCACTTAAGAATGTGAAGGTGGGTATAGTGGTACACACCTTTAGTCCCAACACACATGAGGGAGAGGCAGGTGGATCTCTGTGAGTTCTTGGCCAAAATTTCAGAGTGTATAAAAGGTTGATTGTAATTTATAATGAATTCTCCCATAGAAGCAAGGTTATATAGTTTCCTAGGTCAGCTATATATGTGAGTTCAAGGCCAGCCTGGTCTATATAGTGAGTTCCAGGACAGCTGGGGCTACAGGGAAACCCTGCTTCAAAAGGACCAAAAAAAAAAAAAACCTATGCATATCATATAGTTGCTTGATTTTGAAATTGAGTCTCTTTGAGGCCTGCTTGAAATCCTTGGGGGATTTGAGAATTTACTTGCTTTCTGTTCTGTTTTATTTCCATCACACAGCTAGGCAGATTTGAATGTAAAAACAAGTGATTTGTCTTCTGGTTTCTGTCTTAAATTTTTGCAGCTTTTAAAGGTTCTTGGCAGGTGGGAGGCTTGAGAGGCCAAAGTGAAAAGTAAACTGACTGCATGCTTCAGCTGTGTGACTTGAGAGCTGGTCTCCAGTCTGCTTATCTCACAACCTTATGTTGTTGTCTCAGCAAATAGAGCACCCCACTTGACACACACTCTGCTTCAAGAGATAGGCAGGGAATGACTGAGTTGGATAGTGAAAGCCTGTCTTTCTTCCGGCCACCTATGTCTAAAGGAGATCCAGTTAGTGTGTCAAATTAGACTGATAATTCCAGTCTGAAATGCATTGCTTTCATTGCACAAAGGCTGTAGGGGATTGTTTGTGTTTCTTACATACTTAATTTTGGTTTCTGTTCTCATGGGCATTTGTGTTTCTGGGCAGGGCGGTCAGTTACCTCATGCTCTTATTTGAACAACAGAACATAATATTTTCATCAAGAGGTGTGTGTCATAAGGGCTATGAAATGCTTGAAGTAAACACTTGAACTAACATATTTTTACCCTTCTGATTTCTTAAACTTTCCTTTCAGGCAAATGATGCTTACCTTCAGATGGCCATTGGAAATGCTCCCTGGCCCATTGGTGTCACTATGGTCGGCATTCATGCCAGAACTGGCAGGGAAAAGATTTTTTCTAAACATGTTGCACATGTTTTAAATGATGAAACTCAGCGGAAATATATTCAGGTAAGCAGTTTTGAGGGACAAAATTTGCTGTAACTTTTTTTTTTCTGGACATGGTCTACCTGGAAATCACTGTGTGGACCAGGCTGGCCTCAATATCACAGAGATTCACCTGCCTCTGCCTCGCAAGTGCTGGGATTAAAGGTGTGCACCACCATGCCCAACCTCAGCTTTAAAAAAATTTTTTTGTGTGTGTGTGCATGAGTGTGCCATGACACGTGTACATGAGTATGACATGACACATGTGTAGAGGTCAAAGAACAACTTTGTAGTCAGTTCTCTCTTTCTACCTCTGAGTGGGTTCTGGGAATGGAAGTCAGGTCATCAGGCTTGCACAGCAAATACTTTTACCCACTGAGCCACCTTAAAGGCTCTGCTCTAACATTCTTTAATTATCAGAACTTAAAAGTCTAAAAGAATTACAGTAGTCCCCCCTTATCTGTGAGGAATGCATTCTACAACCTCCCAGTGGATGCCTTAAATGTTTGATACTGAACCCTCTCTGTATGAGGGTTTGTTTCCCGTACATACATACTTAACTGTGAAAATTTATTAAACAGAGTAAGAAATTAACATAAGCCAGGCATGGTGGTATATACCTGTAATCTCAATACTCGGGAGGTAGAAGTAGAAGGATCTTGAGTTCTAGGCCACCTTAGAATACATAGGGAGACCTTGTTTCAAATAAATCTAAAACAGAAGGAGGTGGAGGAGGAGTGGGGTGGTTGTTTACAATTCGGGGAGGAGCAGGAGGGGAAGGAATGTTGTTTATAACAGTATGAAAAAGAATAGCTATAACAATATACTATAATGAAAGGTATATGACTATGGCCTCTGGGCATATCTTATGGGCTTGGGTTCTCTTCACTATTTGTGATAATGTGGGTGGTCAATTTACATGTAATGTGGGGTCTCTCCCTCCCCTCGTGGGTCATTGGCCACTGCTCCACAAGGACAAAGGGAGCAGAAGCGATGAATGGGGTCAGGACAGCCAGTGAGCACTGATGGAAGAAAGCCCTTCTGGGGAGGCAGCTTCAGTGATACAGCTCCATTTATTCAGTGGAGGTCAGGGAAAACATAGTGTGGAGACAGCAGCCAAAGCTTCAGCTGATAGGTGCTCATAGTATGCTTTATTTACATGTGGCAGGGGGATCCTATCATCTGACTATAGGGCAATGCCTAATTATCATATAGAAAAAACCTGGGGGTAGTTTTATTGCAGGTAACTATGCCAAAGGTCATGTTCAAAATAAGGTCAGGCATCGGGGTGCTTAGTGGCACTTTCCAGGTAAGTCAGGCAGAGAGCAGGAGGCACCCAATGAGAAAGGGAGTCCTTCCATATAGTGCCGAGCCCTGTAGTGCTATCTGGACATGGAGGACTACAGCCTTAGCAGCAGGGTCCCCCAACATCTCCCCCTGTTTTGTTTTACAATGGAGAAGTGTCATCACAAGCTTTAAGAGCCAACTCCTCTATCTCGGGAGAATCCAAAGTTTGATAATAGACCATGACTGTTTGGTAGTAATTTTAGCAATGGTAGTAATTTGTCGGCAAAGAAATTGTATGAAACAGGGAGCAAGCATCAAAATGACACACAGCATGATCACGGGGCTAACAAAGGGTAGGAGCCATGAAAACAAGGGGTTACTAAACCAACCTAATTGTTTGGTGGGTTGAAATCTTGAAAATAGATCATTATGAAGTTTTTTGAGAGTATTAACATTGGTCTCAACAACATTTGATTCATTTACAAAAAAACAGCATTCCTCTCCCAATACTACACATGCCCCCCTCCCCCCGCATGTTCAGCAGTTATTAAGTCCAGTGCTCTTCTATTTTGGAGCACAACCCCCGCAAGAGAGTTCATTTGTCGTTGGAGAGACTCGAGGCTGTCAGTCGTGGATGCCATTGCCTGGTCAATCTTGTCTCGAAAGTCTCCTGCCAGGTGATGGGTTTGTACAATAGCAGGAGTTGCAGCGCCTCTGGCACCCAAGGGGAGGGCAAGTCTGAGTCCCACTAGCAAGGGGATGAAGATTTCTCTCTGCTGGCGGGTGTGAAGGAGGAGGGCAGCTTCTTCTTCCTCGAATAGGTACACCTGGGGTGTAATCATTACAGGTACACAAAAGGTAGACAAAGAGGAGTTAACACAGTGTTGGGCTTTTCCTTTGTACCATAGAAAAAGAGGAGGGGTGACGCATGCTGTCCTGGAGAGAGTAATGTTAGTGAGGCACTTGTAATGAGTAGGCTTATTCTTGCTGGAAATGCAAATTGGATAGATAGTCTGTTGTTCGAATAAGGGAATATCCATCAGATGAGAGTTGGTGAAATCTTTTTTTGTTTCTGGGTAAAGAAGGGTGGTATTAACTGGTACTGCTGTCAGTAAAGGTCTGTTGCTGAATGAACAAAAGAAACAGAGGCATAAGGGTGGGTGGTGAAGGGAAGAAAGTTAGCAACATATTGAATGTATTGGCTCTAGGACATAGTTGATCTTATCTGGTCCTCTGTTTTTCCTGTAGAATAATATTATGATGAGTTAGCACAGGCTTAGCTGCAGGTACAAGCTGTCGAGAGATATGAAAGTCAGCTGTAGGGTAGCTAGAGAATGCACCTGAGTAGAACTTTCCCGTTACTCTGACATGCCAGCGATCGTCCCATGGATCTGCAACATATATTAGGGAACAGTCATGGTTCCCATAGAGATACTTATTATCCTTTAGGTAGATGGGTCTTTCCTGTCCTGTTATACCCTGGTATCCCCCAGTTAATCCTAGTTCTAATCTGCAGGGATTGAAATAGTGGCAGCACCCCTAGGTATCAACTTCCTTGAGGCATGATGGATCTGTCTGTCAGAAAGGAAAGCAAACATATTCATTAGTTTTGTATCTGCTAGCATTTGGGTATATTATGATTTCTATGGGTTTTTGATAGCCCACTAGGGGGCAGTCTGCAATAACGGCTGCGCCATCACTGAATCTGGAGCTGTATCACTGAATCTGCCTCCCCGGAAGGACTTTCTTCCGTCAGTGCTCACTGGCCGTCCTGACCCTGTTCGTCGCTTCTCCCTTTGTCCTCATGGACTGGTGGCCAACGACCCACGAGGGGAGGGAGAGACCCCACAATCTAAGATCAAGTGAGGTAGAGGATATAGACATTATGACTTAGACATAGTTTACTGTTGACCTTCTCATTATACTATGAAAGGATCTTCAAGCCATGATGGCAACTGTGGAACTGGAACTGTGTAAAATAAACCCCCAGATAAGGGGAGACAACAGTGCAGTAAATAGAGAAGAGAGCAAGAAGATGAAGGAAGTCCACTGTTGATGAATACTTGTATTTAAGACAGCTTCATGGAATAAAGGACAGTTAACTTTCATATATGATGGAAGGCAGGGACAAGTATTATGCTTTAATTACCTTAGCAACAAAACTGTTGGAATTTGCTTTGTTTTGAAGCAAGGTCTTCTTTAATCCAGACTGGTTTCAAACTTATGACCTCTATCTCTTGAGTGGTAGGAGTGCATCTAGCTTGCCTTTAAAAAAAAAAAAAAAAAGTATATATATATGTGTGTGTGTGTATTTTGTATATATATATAAAACAAGTTAAATGAGTTCATCAGAGAAATTTGGGGGTTTAGTGAAGAGCAACCAATTTAAAGTATTTTATATTTGCTACTTTCAATGTGGATTCAGTATCTACTAAGCTGAAGTGGTATGAAACATGGTTTCAATGTACATGATCATTTTTAAGCCACATATGACAGTTTTTTTCTGATTATGTAACTAAGCCTGAAGTACTTATATTTTTTGCACTGGGCTAAACTTTTCTGAAAACTTGGTGTGGATTTTTAAAATACTGTATATGAACAGCTGGGCATGGTGGCACATGCACTTAGTCTCAGCAGAGAAAGGTGAATTTCTATGAAGTGGAGGCCAGCCTGGTCTACATGGCAAGTGCCAGGCCAGCTGGGAGCCCCTGTCTCAAAAAATAATTGTGCCTAATGAATTGCTGAATGGCAGTTCTTAAATTTGAAGATGATACTTTGGAAATTCATTTAAAATTTACTTAAAAGCATATAAAGTGCCTTCAGATACTGTGCCAAAGAACAGTTATTACCATATTTGTGAATTATCTTATTGTATTTTAGTTCCCAGTGCTAGGTATTTATTTATTCACATACACATCTTAAAATATTTCAGTATTTCAGTCTGACTCCCCCTTCAACTCCTTGATGAGCATGGGAAGGAGGCGTGACTATAGCTTGTTAGCATAGTGGTCGGAGTATACAGTTAACACTCCAACTCTTCCTCAAGCTCTTACATTCTTTCTCCCAACCTCTTCCTCTGAAGTCCCTGAGCCATGGAGGGGGTGATATCTGTGGGATGATCTTCCTCCCATTGTAGCAAAACACTGAACTTTTGGGTCTCTGCATCATCAGTTTTCCATGGGCTGTTGGCCCATTTCAGTGGGATTCCATCTACTATAAAAACACAAACAACAAGAAGCAAGAATATCTAAACAGTGGCTATGGGTGTAAACACAAACACTTGGACACTTCAGCAGGTGCATCACATCCAACTAACAAAACAACTGCAGTAGCTTCCCTACTGGGGAAGATGTGTGTTCCACCTCTAGGAGCAGGCATTATATCCAATTGAAAATTTGGTGGTTGTACATACATTTGATGCTCCACTATTGCACCAGCAGGAACATCTTGTTTGGTATGTTGATAGTACAACACACAGGGTCTGTCATTGAGCAAGTTCTTCTTCAGTCATCTGCATATCTAACCGTCTTGCACCATGAAAGCCACCCATCCAGTGGCAGGGAGTTCCAGCTTAGTCCAAGCTTGATTTCTCCCTCTCCTGCACTTATATCAAGCAGTGTCTTCAGCAATAGTGTCCCTCTGTCCATTCTGGTGTAAAAGCAACCTTATTGGCAATGGCCTTTATTGTTTTGGGATCTTCAGGGCCCCTCAGGCCAACACCTCATAGGAGGGCAACC